ACTAGGCATTAGTATTGGAATGTTGCCTTAATTGCAGTCATGCCGATGTGAGAAAATGAGAAAGGAAATATTCTGAACATGGAATGTTGTCAGTCATCGAAAAAGTAATTGGAATTCTGATAGCTGCCAGAAAATCTGTCAGTTGCCAAAAAAGTCAAATAGCGGCAATTGTCCAGTCAAATTTACTAAGAACTTTTTGTGATAGCAGAGTCCTTTTAGATTGAGAGTTTTGATTCCATGAGAGTAAAAGAGCTAGTAAATTTTCTAAATGTGCTTGAGCGTTTTTTCCACTCAAGAAATTGATTTATTTATTACAGGAATGGTTACAAAGATATTAAATAACAAGACTACTATTTTCAAATGGACAACTAAAATATCATAACTTCCTAAGGTACATTGGACTAACCTAAACACTAACTAAACTGCTTGGAAAGGTAATAAACATTAAATACTCCTATTTCTAACACTACTTTGGAGGTTGGCTTAGTTGCATCTTTAAGAATGGTGGTTTGTTCCTACATTTAGTATAGATATAACGTAAATAAGGAATAAAACCATTGAAGCACCGATTTTAACACTTGTTCTGTGTAATTTAGTTTCCAAATGGTGAGCATCTCCAAGGATGAGAGTTGTTTCAGCAACTAATATGAATTACTTCTTATCTTCGAAAATGTAAAATATAAAGTTATTATACTAAATCATACTTAATCACTCACCATTGATTTTACTCCAATAGAAATTTTCTTAAAAAAATTTAAAGAACTTATTCTCTCTTCTTAATTACTTTTTTTATTCATTTAAGCAACTTAGAACATCTCCAATGTCAATTGCTTATTGAGATGTTTAAGTAAAACACTAACTGTTTTAAAGAACTTTTTATTGGAGGAATCTATGTGGTATGGTAAATTGCTTAAATTTTTTGGATAGTTGTTTCGTCAACACTTACAAAAAATAAAAAATAAAATAAGTAAATGATGAGAGAGTAGGAGAGAAGATGAGCTCTTTAAAATTTATTAAGAAAGCTTCTATTGGAGTAAAATTAATGATTAGTTACTTAAAAATTATGTGACATAAGAAATCCATATTTTATATTTTTTAAAGTGAGAAATAACTCATGCATGTCACTTAGGATTCCTCCACTGAAAAATTACTTTAAGAAAATAACTCACATGCATGTCACCTAGGATTCCTCCACTAGAAGATTACTTTAAGAAACTAGTGTTTTATTTAATTATGTCAATAAGCAACTTCCATTGGAGATATTAACTTTGTATGTGAGACCACATTAAAATAACTATGCTTGGACAAATTTACTTTCCGTAGAATATTTACATCAATTGACTACTAGAAGAAAATTTAATTCTCAGAGGATTGTGCTTATATTAAGTGAAGAAAGGTAATTTCTTAAGAATATTACTTTTTCTTGTTTGGTCTCTCATCTAACCAAGCACTTTATGGATTGGTCTCTCATCCTTGCTACTCAGACTGCAGATATGAATAAATCTGGTCATCAGTTTTCCTTGTTCCTCTGTGATTGGTATTTTGCCACCCATATTACTGCTCTTGATTGTCTGATGTACATTACTTTTCCCCTCATTTAAGAATTATGTCAATTATAATTCTGAATTAATCAAGTATGCCTATTTGTGTCGAGCCTAGTTTTCATGTGTTATATTTTTTTAATGTCAATGCTAATATGAAAAATACTTTCACTAATATCATTTAATAACCTTTCATATTTGATCTTGGTCTTACTAGAATGTTCAATTAATGAAGATATGGTATATGGTCTCAGTTGTGGGTTTTCAGCAATTAATAATATTGATTACATTGGTCTGTAGACAGTTTACATTGTGAATATTGGTATTTAATGTTATGAGGAGCACAGATCTTTCAATTTTTTTATGAGGTTATGGTTGGTGGTACAAGATTTACATTTTGTGTGGTATGGAAGACAAGAAAAACAGGAGATATTTGAAATAAGCATTTGGAGTTTATTAAGCCAAAGAAAACATTTACAAAATTACATGATCTGTGGACTATTGCTCTTTCTTGCTGTGCACAATCTGGATCTACACGTGTATGAGTACCTTTACATGGTTATTCATTCTGCAGGATGCATTTACTTAATACTTAGATCTCATAGTTACCCACCTATTGAGTGGATATTGTCTGATATTTAGTTCGACATTCTGTGAACTTCATGGCCAATTTCTGCTATTTGTTGGAACAGAAGCATGTGCTTATTTTTGTCCTTGTGAAATTTGTCAAAAAGTGTACTTTCAATTCCATAAACCTATTTTGTTCTTGCATGCATTTGGTTGACGAAGGTTAAAAATATTTATGATATTGAAAGAGATGCAAAAACTTCGTTTTTCTATCGAGGACTTATTATTCTTCCCTTATATGTGCTTTCTCTTTTTTCTTTCAGATATTATATCCTTTTTATGGGAAAAATATTGTCTTAACAGATTTTATAGTATCAGTAGTTTTAAATATTCATTCATACTCGAGCATGCTTTGTTTATTATAATTAGATTGCCTTATGTCCTGCAGGATGATATGGATACAAATATTAGAAAACTTCTGAATGAGCTTGATTGTGCAAATCGGAAGTGTGAAATTTATCGGTCCAACCTGCTTTCAGTTTTGAAAGCTGTTGAGGATCACAAGTTAGAGTTGTCTGTTAAGGTGGAAAATATCAAGATAAGCATGAAAGATGGCATCTAAAGACACTGTAGAATTAACATTGACCATGAGCTGTAATCTTAGTGAGGTATTTTGTAAAGGATAATTTTTTTATATACCAATAATCATGATCTCTGAAAATTATAAATTTCAAGAATCATGATTTTTAAGAATCATGGATCCTGACTATTTATGGGAATAGCTAAATCTATTAGTTAATGGTAGACGATAATGATAATTTTTACACATGTTTCCTTGTAGGTAAGAGTCTCATGAATAAAACATTTTCATGATTGGTTTTAATAAATTTTTTCTAGATATACGTATTTTCTTTCAAAAAAAATCGTAAGGAAATAATCTTGTTAAATAAACTTCTTAAACCTTATTGTCAAAAAAATAAAATAAAATAAATAATCAATGTATCATGAGACTATTAAATAATTAGAACATTGTATATTTGAAACAAGAAGAAATATTGATTTTTTTTTAACACAACTAAAGTATCTTCTCAATGAAAACTAAAGTATTTTTCTATTGCAGCACTAATAGGAAAAAATTGAGTTCAATGAAAACTACTAGATTTCTTTTAAAAGATTACTGAAAAAAAAATGTTTTATATTAAAAATGCGAAGTCAGTATTACTACCAAATCGATCTATGCAACTTAAATATCGAACAATGTAAGTAACTTTGTCAGATTGCGAGAATTCTTTCTTGGAAATCTACATATGCTTTCCTCCAACATAACTCTACCGAGCCCTTCCTTTACGTACAAACACGGAATCCACATGGCGTTTAAACTTGAATAATCAATTACCAAGAAATATCAGATGAGTGCAGAGTCTTCAGCCTCCTAAAGGTGATTAAGTGCTAGTCTGGAATATTATTAGCTGAGGGGTTGTCTGGTGACCAAAGCACTGCATGTGACCAACAAAAAAAATTACGTAAAGGCATAACAAACAGAAAGCATAGAATAGGATACTGTTAAGATATAAACTAAATATATGAAAATATATTTTATTATTGTATTTTAGATAAATATATATTTAATTTATAATTAGTTTTCTATATATATATATATGATATTATTAATTACTTAATTAGTTTATTAAGATTACTGTTTGTATATTGTATTTATTTCAAGTTAGTGAATAAAAATTGAGAAAAATATTTTTTTATGGTATCAAATTTTTAGGACAAATATGTTTCTTTTTCTTTGTTTCCCTACATTTATCTTTTTTCTTCATCTTCTCATAGTCATCATTGACAATAAGATTTCTTTCCATTCGGCTCTTGCGATTTCTAATATATGGAACCATATTTCCATCATTCTTGAAATGGAGAATGTCTAATACTTTATATGAACGAAACTTTTTAAAATTACCGCACCTTCTCGTAAGGTCTTTCATCACATTATTCTTCCTGCCAATGACAAAGAGAAGGTACATGTGACTGGGGATGAAAAGAAATTATGATCGAATCTTGATGATAAGGTTCTTTTTTTACTTTATGCAACCATCTCCAATGACCTGTTGCATATAATTATTAAACTCAATACCACGGCTATGGATGCTTGGAATAGGTTGAGAGATATTTTCTTAAACAACAAACATTCCCATGTGGTAATTCTTGAGGCCGAATTTTCCACTACTAAAATGGAGAATTTTTCGAATACTTTGACATATTGTCAACGTCTCAAGTCCCTTGATGATAAGTTGAAAAATGTTGGAGCACTGCTGTCGGAGAGCCGCCTCATCATTCAACTTGTGTCGGGTCTCACAAGTGCATATCGCGTTGTAGGGACGTTAATTTGGCAAAGAAATCCCTACTTCTGTTTTATCAGGCTCGATCGATGCTCACACTTGAAGAAACCAGATTGGCAAAGGAGGCTGTCACGGGATCGGAGTCAGCAATGGTGGTTGTCTCCCAATCCATTTATGACTCAAATTCTTCACATTCGGACCAGCTACACTAGCAGTAGCACCGTGGGAAACCGTCTGGATATCGTAAGAATTCTAGAAAAAAATCCGGTGGCAGTGGTCACAGGTCTGGCGGTGGCAAATCAAACCGTACAGGGGGCGGCAATGGTGGTCCGCAGTAGTTTGGTGGGAGACCACAACAGCAGTCACAGTGGGGGTCTTTACCTTGACCGAATTACCCATCTTGGGGTTGGATACCTCAGTGGGCTCCTCCATGCCTATATCCAAACCAAGGGTGGTCACGAGGTCCAGCACCACAAAGACAGCAACATCAGTCCGACATTTTTAGGTCACGCCCACAGCAGGCTTACATGACCTCTCAGTCTACCTATGTTTATCCCATGAGCCTAGACACCGCCAACCCACACTTCCCTACAACACCACCCGCCTCTCCTTCCCTTAGCCCATCCTCTTCTCCTATCTCCACACCAGCGGATCAAACTGTACATTCCCCTCAGATTCTCATATCACCACCTCGTATGATCACAAGAAGCCAAATGGGTATTTTTAAATCAAATGGGCATTTTTAAGCCAAACAAGAAATATGATGATGAATATGGCTCAGCCACTTCCGTTACTCGGTCTCCATTACCTCGTAACCCAGTTGCGGCTCTTCGATTATATATTATTAACCTTCTGAGCTCGAAATTTGCTATAAAGGATCTTGGCCCTTTGAACTATTTTCTTGGCATTGCAGTTATGCCGAGACAATTATTGACCGGGCTGGTATGTCTTCCTGCAAGTCATCTCCAACACCGATTGACACTAACGCTAAGGTGGGTACTACTTTTAGCGCACCTTATGAGGATCCCACTCTTTATAGGAGTCTTGCTGGAGCTTTACAATATCTCACTTTCATCAGGCCAGATATCTCTTATGCGGTGCAACAGGTGTGCTTATATATGCACGATCCGAGGGTAGACCATATGCAAGCTCTCAAACATGTTATCCAGTATTTACAAGGTACACTTGATCTTAGTCTTCATCTCAATTCATCTTCGACCACATCTCTTGTTTCTTATAGTGTTGCTGATTGGGGTAGGTGCCCTGATACGAGACATTCTACCTCGAGTTACTGTATGTTTCTAGGTAACAACTTGGTGTCATGGTCCTCCAAGCATCAATCTATACTCTCATGGTCTAGTGCAGAGACCGAGTATTGGAGTGTTGCTAATGTGGTTTTTGAATCGTATTGGCTTCGAAATTTGTTATTGGAATTGTATTGTCTAGTTACACAGGCTCCTCTTGTGTATTGTGACAATATTAGTGCTACCTATTTTTCGGGTAACCTGGTGCAACAACATACCAAACATATTAAGATGGACATACATTTTGTACAGGAAAAGGTTGCATGTGGTCAGGTTCGAGTTCTTCATGTGCCTTCACGTTATCAAATCGCTAACATCTTTACTAAAGGACTTCCATGTGTGTTGTTTGACGATTTTAGGGACAGTCTTAGTGTCCATCATCCTCCTACTTTGACTGCAGGGTATGTTAAGATATATATAATATATTTTGTTATTGTACTCTAGGTAAATATATAATTAGTTTATAATTAATTTCTTAAATATATCTTTGATATTATTAGTTATCTTGTTAGTTTCCTAAGATTACTACTTGTATATTGTATTTATTCCAAATCAAGATTAATTGAGGAAAATATTCTTTTATGAATAGCAGCAAAAGACCACCTTATATTTAATGTTTTATTTAATTATTACTCTTACGTTATCATTTATTATTCTATTAGATTTCAAGCTAAAACTCTGTACCCAATTAGCATTAAGCAAAATAACCTAACAAACACATAAACCATACAATGAAGATCGAGCACTTATTTTTGTTTCTTGTTAAAAAAAAGTATAGACTTTAAATTTATTATCACAAATTCATTACTTATTGATATGTTACAACACAGTTAACTGAAAACTAATTCAATATGCACTTACATTTGTAATTGTAACACATCACTAAAACGTAATACGCAACATAATATTTTTTTAATCGTATCTCACAATTCAAATTGAAAAAAAAAAATTTAACTTATTTATAAAAAATAACAGAAAATAATACAAAATATTATTATAATTAAAAAAAAAAAAAGTGGGCCCTTTCTTATTGTCGTTCTGGGCATTTGCACTTATGGACTATGCCTGAGGTTTTATATCAGTAAGGAATGTCAGTAGAATGTTTTTCAAACAATTAAAAAGAGATTAGTGTAGAAATAGAAAATGTTTATGTGATTTCACAAAATTTCAAGAATAGATAGGACCTGTTTGAAAAAAAAAAGTACATGAACACTTCTAGAAAGAAAAAGAAAAAGGAAAAGAACTTCTCTATAAACTAAAATTAGTTCGTGCATTAGTTTACTTTATAACTTATAAGAAACTAATTTAATCTTTTTTTTCTTATTTTTCTCACGTTGAAATGTTTATAGATAAGTTTCAAACATGCCCTTATTGGAGAATGTAATGGAACCTGCATGTTAGACTGATGCTCTCAGGGTCTATAATGCCAACCGGATATGTTCTTTCACAGATATTCCTCACGACTGGAACTTGATTGAATCCGCGCTCCTTCATAATCATTTGAGCATAAAAAAGTTCCATATCAGGTGTAGCTGTCCATGGCACGCTGCATATTTCTCCATTCAAAAGGCATAATTCAGAAACTAAAAGCTCCTGCAAGAGGAAGAATCACATAATCAGATTTGTGAAGTAACAAAAAAATAGTTTAGTTCAGTACTTGCTCTAGCAGTATCTATTGATTTTAGTAAACGCCACACCAAATTCTAATGCGAGCATTTCTCTGACTGAATTAGCTTGGATAAAACAATCGTAAAATGATCAAATTCTTATATTTTATGGAGCGGAGATAGGTAGCCATTGTTGGTTCTCCGTTATTTTACTTGTGCTACCAATTATGTACAAATGAAACACAGTACTGCAAAGCAGGGGTGGGGGCATATATAATATTTTAAGACTTGGACTCGTGCATCCCACATTACAAGTATACAGAACATATTTGTTATTTCTACATTTGTGTAATGAATGCTCATTTTTAATTAATGATTGGTTAAGTGTGTGGTAATAGAACTTAATTGTCCAAAACGTATTATGATAAGTGTCCATCAATTGCTAATGATGGTATAAAATAGCAAGCTCAAAATTAAGATACAACTTCAATAGAATATCCATCGCCTGTTATGTTGGGATCTATATATTCAATTAAGTTTCGTAGACTACTTTTTTCATCGTCGCGATGTTTAGCTTCTAGCCGTAGATAATCTAGATTGCCTCAACTTGAAAAACTATATATAGATTTCACATCCAATTAGAATTAAACTTGGATTCTTGTACCTTATTTTCTTGGCTTCTTGCTTTTGCAAATTTACCGTACTCTTGAATGTCTCTAAGTGTCAAGAAACCGATTAATGTATCATCAGTATCAACAATTACTGCACAAGACTGTTTCTCTGCAAGCATGAGATCTATTACTTCTGTAAGCAGTGTACACATTGAAACTGTCACGTATCTCGTCTTCATGGCTTCCGAAACAAATGTTCTCCTTACAATATATGTTGTTTCAATATTATCATCCTCTACACAAAGTGAACTTTCCACTTCACACAAATTACTCAAATATTGCGCACCTTCAGCAAAGGTATTGCCAGCAGATGACTCGATTGAACTACGAGAAGATATTTCTGGAAGTGAAGTAGAATTTGAGTGTTCTAACTCGACCCTTTTTGCCCCTCTGTCGTCTCTTTTTGTCTGTACAGATGAAATCCACGTAGACAACCCTACAGCTCCAAGTAGTGGTAGAACAATCCGATAATCCTGTGTTAATTCAAACAGAAGCAAAACTGCAGTAAGTGGTACTTGACAAACTCCTGCAAGAGTTGCAGCCATTCCAACCTGCAAAAAGAACTTCAACACGATCATCTTTGCAGTAAGCGTGGTTATCCAATTTATGCATTATCTACAGGAGACATATGTAGGCAATAAAAAAAATTCTTCAGTATCTGAAAGGAAGCCCAAGAAGAAGGCTGCTCCATATAAGGAGACAGACTCTTTATGGAGGTATACACTAATGTAGATTATGATGATATATTAGAAGGTCCACTTCAGAATATTGTATGTTCTTGGGTGAAAACTTGGAGACATGGAGAAGCATGAAGCAAAGCAAAATTGCAAGGTCAAGTGCAATTTCTGGCTATATTTGTGAGCTATAATGGATAAAGCTCTTCAAAGTCCATATAAAATATACAGCTCCTACGATCTGCTGTTAGCATTGCTAATAATTCAAAAGCATGATGCAACATGCAGTGGTGATGATGTGGAAAAAGGTAAATAGGAATCAAAGTTTGTTACAAAAGGACACATGGTAGCAGATCCATATCATACCGAATTGAGGAGAACAAACTGAATTAGAAGAAGGAACATTTATTTACGGAATTTTCTCCCAGATATTTCTCTCTGCTGATTTCTCTTCCTATCTCCGATTTTTTTTCTTCTCACTCTTGACTCTCTCTCTTAGGTCAATTTAAGTATGTCGTTGGAGTTGGATCTCAAAGATTCCTGAACAATTTTGTTGCTGGCTTTATTATAAATTGTACTGTTGAATCTATTGTTGCGAAATTGAAAGTCTGTTAGCTGAATTTGTAATTGCTTGTTGCTACATTTATAATAATTACATAATACAAAATATACACTGTTTCACATGACTGGTAACACGCTAAGAGATCCCATTTGGGTGTCAATTGGCAGATGTATTAACTAAAGACCAGCCGCAAAGCATTTCCAAGAATTTTCATGCTGGTAATGATAGACATTCACTTACCAGCTTTACAGGAAGTGTTTGGATTACGTGATATCATTTCCTTGTTCCAATATTTCAGCTTTCATTTCGCCAGGTTTATTTCCTTATAATTTAGTTTCTTTTTTATAACTGTCTTTGTATAGAAGGACTAAACTCCCAATATATATGTTTAATCAGCCGGTACATGATATCAATAAATAATATTTAGTTATTACATATTTCCAAGCCAATAGAAATAGACTAGGCCTGGTAATGAAGTAAAATAAGATTGATGATGTGGAAGGCCTGGTGCACAAAGAAACAAATTCGACAGTAGTTACAAAGAGTGAAAGGTGGCTACCAAGAGTGGATAGGTGGCTACCAATTTGCAAATCATGGAGCCAAGGAGTAACATAAAGAGAGTATCAAATACGAGGCTATGGGATTTTGTCAGCTGGGCAAATTGTGGTAATTCTCCCCCCTCTCAAAATTCTATCTATTCCTCTCTGTATCTAGAAGCCTTCTGAGTTTTCCCTTCTTCCAGGTGCGATGGCTAGACTGGAATTCCAACTTTGACATCTTTGAGCAGCCCTCCATCCCTTACATTACAGTTTTTATGTTGAATCTCAGAGACTATTTCCGTATGGTTGGGTGATTGGAATACTGAATTGTATGAAGATTTTCCCCATCAATAAATAAAATTCCACTTATATTCTCTGATATTTTGAGATTAAAATTCTAAGTTCTGTCAGCCTATATTGCTCCTAAAAGCTAGCTCAAGAGAAACAGGATTTTCCAATCTTATGAATAGCATTTTTATTACAATGTGAACACACCTCCCTGCACCTAGGGCTGGACATGTAGACTGTGAAGTTTACAACAATATTTGAAATAGACCAAGCCTAACTCGCTTGCAAAAGCTAGCTAAAGGAAGGAGTATTATCCAAGACATACAAGAACTATTCTGGCCATATTCTAGGTCAATGTGGGACATCTTAACCAAAACTATATTCTCATAATTAGGCAATTTATATACCAAAACTTGATTGGGGAGCAACGTGGAGCATACAAAGTCTTGTCCCATATGATATGAGAAATTTTCTTCCAGATTATTACTGCTAATTCATTCTTACATTTTCTTGGGAGAGGGGGAGGGGTAGAAGAAAAATCATACAGAAAAAGGTTTCCAAAGGAAAATAAAAATCTGGACAAAAACAAATTGTAGAAATTTTCATAAGAAAGCAGCAAAAAAAATCCAAGGGAAAAACAGACAAGGGAACCACCACAACTACCATTCCCCGAAACACTCCAGAGAAAAAGTAAACTAATACTAAAGCGATTATTCTCGTTTTGCCTTATGATTCAAATAGACCTTATTAGGCCTTCTTATTCCTTTAGACTCATCGTAATATACTTTTTCTGATAGTCTTAGTAGCAAGAAATTCCTTTTCTACCTTCATACTCTTAGTGTTATAGGTCTCAAGTGATAGAGCTATCTTCAGATCCTTTCCCCAAAAATTAAACCAACTTTACAACCATTGAATCAAAAAGTGATTTTGGACCATGCAAATCACTTGCATTTCCTATAGGTCTACCCTAAAAGAATTGATAGATAAAAATTGATTTCATTTTATTTCTTAGAATTTGAACTTAGAAACAGACTCAACCCACAAGGATAAAACTTCCAAAAGCATGTGAAGATAGTTATTTCACTAGCTCTATGATAAACTCAAATATCATCTTCAGAGTTTGAGTTGAAAACTTATAATTCAACTCTACAAACTAATTGTAAGGCAAAGCTTGTGGAAAGCCTGTATAAGAGTTAAATTGTTCATATGGCCTGTATAAGAACTAAATTGTTCATATTGCGATGACTCATATCCCTATTTTATGTGAAATCACAAGTGTTAAGAGGTAACTGTTTTAAAATCAGTTTATACCAATATGCAAGCATGAGTTGAGGCTTATGCAAATTCAAGCAGCTAATTGTACACAATAAATTTTATGATTTCATCAGAGTTAAGTTCGAATAGATGATACAGCTTCGTTTGGAAGTTTAGAGGTTTTATGGTTTGTTTTCTATTAACTATTTCCTTCACAAAATCTTAAAAGTAGGAAACCAAATGAAAAGAAGTTAGTGATTTTGAAATTGTCTGTGAAAACATATCAAGTCAAAATAAAACAGAGAATTAACCAAATAACCTTGTAATGTAAAACAATGCAATAGATCATAGTGAAAAGACAACAAAATAAAAGAAATAGAAAGCCGACTTTCCTTTCACTTGATTGGATGTTTGCAAAGTAACATTAATGAAACACAAGGAATGAAACAAACCACCACTCTCAGGGAATTGGAAAATTGTTGGTAAACTACTTTTTTTTTTTTTTTTTCATTTACTGAAGATACTCCCAAGCCACAGAGAGTACATTTCACTTCCCTCAATACATTTATAGCCTAAATTGCCAAGTTTTGCATATGACGTTTATTGTTCCCAGGCCATTCTTCTTTTAATCAGGTATTTAACAAAAGAACATTACTTATAAAGAATTGAGAACTGTAAAATAAATTATAGGACAGGTATCCAAGAGATTCTCCTAAGATTAAATAACTGAAGAGAAAGGGCTTTAACTCCAAACTATTAAACTTTATGGTCCATGTCTGTAATTAAAATTCTGAAATATTAAAAACTAATAATTACGTAAAGACAGAAAAGAAAGTTCCTCTAAGAAAACGCTCATTTTTACACCCTTGGTCATCTTGAAAAAATATAGTTCACCCCCCAAAATAAAAAAAAAATAATCATGGAAATCATAAAATGCTAAATGGTAAAAAGCATATAGCCAAAAATGAAAGTACCAGGCCATAAGCTTGTGGGGATGCCACATCCAACACAGAGAGGTTAATCATGGGATTAGACTCAGCAACAGCCAAACTAATTAATTTTCCATAGGCCATCCCAGTTGCACCACCAATGAAGAGAGATGGGGCATAATACCCCCCCACTAATCCAGAAGCCCTGCACAGAGAAGTTGCAACTATCTTGACGGCTATTAGCTGAAGCAATAGGTCAGTGGAAAGGCCTATAACAAATGGCCGAGATTCTAATAGAATGTCAACATTCTCAAAACCCCAGTAGAGGATTTCAGGATATAACAATGCTATCAACCCAACTGATAAGCCTCCCAATATAGGGAATGAAGCTCTTGGAATGCCAGTGGCCTTGTGAAGATTGTCAACAATAGTCAACATATATGACGTACACATAGATAGGGCCAATGACACCAGGCCACATAAAATACCCAGCAATAGATACAGCGGGAGCTCTGAAATCAAGTTGAACACTCTCACTTTAAATCTTACCCATCAGAATGAGAATAGCAAGAATGTTCAAAAAGAATTTAGCTTTTGTTTTCTTAAGTTTCAAAATCACTAGTTCAATCAAATATATTACTCAGCTTCTTTTAAAGAGACTTAAAAACCAATAGAGAATATACAATACCAAACCTGAATTTCTATAAGCGATAAATTACAAATGAAATCACATTGAACTACACTAGTAATTTATTTTATTTTATTTTCATTTTGAAGATTAAAATCTTGCAAAAGTATGATAAATGTAACGTCATTAATATATTTCTCTGCTTCTGAAATTCTGATTGTCAAACTATAAGATTCCTGAGGAGTGAGACCTGTGACTCTTGTAGCAGTCAAAGATTTGATTTCCAGAATGTACAGACAATTCTTTAACCAATTAGAACAAAAATATGAGCAGTGGCAGCAATGTTGGTAATAAAAGAAATTTTTCAGCAGTCAAAATGGAGGAACTGTAAAGAAGCATTATAATTGGCCTGCCTGGCAGAAGAATTGTCAACAATGATGACCATAGTGACAAGATGAGCATAGTCATACTATGGAACTATGCCCAGGTTGTTCAAATAATCCAATATGACACCCTAAAGGGATAATTTACTTGCATTTGGTTGCATAAATTATATTGTAGGAGAACAGGACTAGCTTAATAGGGGCTTCCACTTATCATTAATTATACTTGACTAGATTTAACCAAGTTTGTAAGGAAACATCCTGCAATCCTTAGTTGTATGTTTGTAAGATAGCCGCAGTCAGTTCAGTCAAAGGTGCTTTGATAAACCAATTCAGTAAACATATTACACATTAGTACCTTGTTTGGTTGTGGAGGTGGGAGAGAACGGGTGAAGATGAAAATAAAATAGGATGTTTGGTGGAGTGAAAGAGAAGATAAATAATTTTAAAACGGTGGGACCCACAGTATTATTATTATTATTATTATTATTTTCATCTATTTTTATTCATTTCTCTATCTCTGCTTATTTCCTATCAAAACAATTAAACTACACAACGTACATGAAAATCCTCTCTATTTCTCAAATACTTCATTCTACTAAGCAACTAAACATTCAATTTTACTTTTTACCTATGTCTTTTCAGCTTATTTCTTCTCTATTTATATTCTCTCTTATTCTCTCAAAACCAAACATGACATAGTTGACATACTTTGGTAATGTGTGACGGGGCAGAAGGAGGAAAGCAATGAGCATGTGCGAGGTAATGAAGCAGTGAAAACAGTAATTGATTGAAATTATAAATCATTTCATAGAAAAATCCCTTCATGTCTTAGACACGGGAAACAGTAGTTGTGTGAAATTATAAATCAGTTCAAAGAAAAATCCCTTGATGACTTACCACTGGGGGAGCGGAAGTCATAATCTGGAACTTTAAAGGCTGGTTGAGAGCCAAGGCCAATCTCAGAAACTACAGAAGCTATGACAGCACTTAGTATGACCATGGAAGTATTATTTGTAAGTGGTAAAGATGCATCTGCAGGCGATGGCCACAAGACAGACTCAACAGCAAAAAAACAACCAGCGACAGCAGTATTAAAACCTGATAAGAAATATAAATTAGAAATGAGAATAAACTCATAGTCAGAAAACTGATGAAATTGGTAAAAGCAACAGCATAACATGTAGAATATATACCGGCAGAGAGGCCAGCAGCAGAGCCAGCAGCGACAAGGGAGAGCATTCTGCCAGAAGTCTTTCCATTGTGAAAGAAAGGACCAAGGCCTTTGGCAATGGAAGTGCCAATGTCGACGCTGGGACCCTCAGGACCCAGGGAATTGCCTGTGCCTAAAGTAACAGAAGCAGCCATGGCCTTCAGAAAAGGGCGGGAAGCAGACTTGAGGTAGGAAGATGGTGTTTGGAGGAAAGGGTCTTGTTGGAGAGCGGAATCAAAACGCTTACGAAGGAGGTTTAGCACAGACACAATAGCGCCTCCAAAAGCCGGAACTAGTACTACTCGTGCCCGTGTTGTCTCCATAGGCGCTTCCCTCAACCATGAGGCGCCTCGATTAGGAATCCCATCCCAGAACAAATCACGAATTTCATGGACCTTACATGAAAATAGGCATATAATACGAATACGAATACGAATACGAATACAGAATATGAATCAAGTATATATCGCATTTGGTAAGTTAACTTACAGCATAATTGAAAAGCACGACAGCGACGCCGGTGAGGAGACCGACCAAACACGAAGAAATAATTCCGGAATCTCCAATCCTTCTGGTGAGGAGCTTCCATTCTAACTCTAGTCGTTCAGAAGTAGAGGTTCCTTCCTCCCCAGCGTCTCTATTGTCAGGCACACAACACGGACGCCGGAGCCTGGGTCTAACTCGGCAACGATGATGAGTCTCGTATGCAGAGGCAGACACCAACGACCACCACCGTGCTACTTTTACTGCCTCTTCTTCAGATTTTGAAGCGAGGATTCGAATTCGGTGATGCTGCCAACTCGGGTGAAATACTCCTACTCCCGCCATGCATCCTATGCCAACCATTTCTCACGATATTCCAACTTCTTCACACCCACCACACTCACTAACAACTCATTTTCCTCCTCTAATAGAAAATATAATTAAATATGCAGGTTCAAGCTTCATGGAATGGATAAAGTGTAATTATACACTTCAAACACATAAAATTCTTTTCAACCATTTTAGTGCAATTAAATTATTATTTGTTTCATTTTTCCCTTTCTTTTTTTAGGTATAAAGCAAAATAACTTTAAATTACTCTACTGTTTCTATTATAGAGGAATTTATTCTATTTCAATAAGTTTCCTCCACTGTTAAGCTTAATGATTTGTTTTAAGTTTAACAAACACTAAAAACTATGTTTTAACTGCTGTAAAAATCTACTTCTGATTTTAACTTTATTTTTACTTATGGAAAAGTTTCTTATCAGTAAATAGTATTTGAAAAGTAAGTTATTTATATTAATTTATAATATTTTTGACGCACTATATCAAGTACACTAGCTTTTTAACCCTAGGAAATTTATTTCTTTGTAATCGTTAAAGTATTCTTTAAAAAATTGTTATTTTTTTTATAAATTAGGATTTTAAAATTGATTTTACACAATTTATTTTAATTGTTGTTACATTAACCAACATAATAATGAAGTATAACATCTGCTTAAGTGTAATTTTTTTTTAATTTGGTTAAATCTATTTTTATATAATACTATACATCATATAAAATAAAATATATGTAAAATAATAAATGGGAATAAGGTTATAATTAATTGAAATTTTATAAATTTCAATAATTAGTAATTGGAAGTTAAAAATATGAGTTTAAAATTAATTAAAAATTAAATTATAACAGGCCCAAAAATATATTTTATAAATAAAATAAACATAAAGTTTATATTAAAATATTATATAAACATAATATAAATTATTAATAGTTCAATAAATTAAATTAACAACTATTAATTAGCAACTAGTTTATTTTAGTTTCTTTTCACATTCTAACTACATTTTTAATTTCTATTAGCTATACATTATGAGATTTTTTTTTAAAACTAATGTTAAGGTAGTCCATCTGGGTCCAGTGTCATATTTCTTTTTAAACTATAACTTTTAAACAATTTTACGTTAATAATACAACTTTTTAATTTAAGAAATAATATTTTATCTAACAAGGTATTATTTTTTATGAATAATATTATATTATATCATATTAATTTTGTTTATCTTAAATTATATATTATAAATATAATTTTTTAATACACTATTTTCACAAATACTTATTGGATTATCTAATGGATGAAAACAAAACAAAAACAAAAACAAAAACAAAAAACAAAAAAAAACAAAGATTTTATGTTACACCGATTTATTTAATTATTGCGTTACTGCGTTACGTTTGTTTCTTTTTAAAAGATTTTTCAAGAGTTTAACTATAATCAATATGATTCTTGTACTTATGACTATAACAAGTCACTTCTGATTTTATATTTCAAAACTTATATTTTTTCTATAATCTAGAATGATTCTTCCAGAAACTATATATTTTTTTATAATATTCTGGATTGTTTATTTCAAATTTCATATTTTTTTTCTAATATATTCTAATGATCAATTAAAAATACTCAAGAATAAATTTTCAGGGATTACTGGCTCGTCGTAAGTTTTCCAGAAACATCAGTCCGAAACCTATATTACCGTAGGGGCATTATTGCCTTTTTGAATAAATATGGGGTGCAGGTTACACATCTGGAAGTGAAGAAGCAACAGCATAGTTTTTCTCCCACTTTTGGATCTAAAAAATTTTGGATGGAGCATGGGAACTTAGATCTCACGCAGCAGGAAGCACAATGGAGACAACCGAAGCCTGGTCCCATCCTCGTTTAGATACATACGAAAATAGATCTCAATGTATATATACTATTACAATGAACTAACCGGTTCAACATGTATTCGTTTGCTTGAGGGTAAACCAATGAATAAAAAAATCCAGTGTAGAAAGAACACAAGGCGGAAGTCATGGTTATCTTTGCATCTTCCCAGCAGAGTGCAGATAAATTGCAACAGAGACAACACTGTAAACATAATTTAACACTTCTATTAAAGAGAAGGAAAAGGCATGTGAGACATCCAATTGAACCATTAAAAACGATTGCCCCGTGGCATGCACATCAGAATGCTGCATTTCAAAATTTAACACAAGTGCCAAAGCCATAAAAAACCTAAGAAATATTCAACATTTTAATTTCAGTTGCTGGCACAATATGATGTATTCGTGTATGTGTAATACTTGGGCCATGGAAGAAAAACACTAGAACATGGCCAGCACACTCATGATATAATAAAAAGTAACTTACACTGTGCCCAGGAAGAAGGCGAGGGAGAGATGGAAGCCAAAAAGGAACACAGAAACAACTGCTGTAAGAAGCATTGCAACTGAAGTAGAATACACCTGTGTCAATGTGAAGTTAATTATAAACTTGAATTTCACTTCAAATGTTTGTGCTCGAGTTAATAAAGGTGTTGTAATGTTTGAATAAACTAAGAAAAACAATCAGAAACACACATATAGATCACATTTGATGAAAGCATATTACCAATCATCATAATACAGCTCTAATTCAGTGAGCTGTGCAGTTAATTCAGTGAGCTCTAAAATTTTATAATCATTATATGTGACAATTCGTTTAGATTTCCAACTCATCTAACCTCTGATTGTATCCTATGAATATTAATTTTGTTTTATAAAATTTCCGAATAGATAATGATATCAAATTATTAAGAGATAGATAGGGTCATAGGAGGAAAGAGCAAGCAGCTAAAACTCCAATAAAGATGCTTTCATTGCAATCAAATGTTACAGGAGAAAAGTAAAATGTGGCCACAATTTATAGCTGCATGTTTTTCTCTATTAAATTAATCCAGCAAGTTTTCAAGATCCTGATTAAACTCAATTACTCATTTTTTATTTCCAACAGCAATACTCGGATAGGAAATGAAACAAATTGTCGTAGGCTTCTTATCTGATCCTGTTATTTTTCTTTGCAAATAACTATACAAATAGAAGTTGAATTTCTGACAGAAGATGGCGTGGCTGCAAAACAACCCGGCTGGAGGGTCAAATAATTTGCAAAACTCATCATACATCTTTCACTCTTATCCAGCCCTGATGACATCATTTGGATATTATTTTCATTCTCCTAAGCAAAAATAAGTAGCAAATTCTGAAAGATTTAGCCAGTAAAAGACAACCAACAAATTCCCACGGAGTTAATGACACATTCATGTAGAGGAAAAAAAATATGTTAACAACACACGTTCTAAGCGACATAATCTACTATTGGTTAAAATTTATTAGAAACCATAAAATCATAAGTGAAACTCGTTAAATAAGTAAGACCAACCAAAATTTGTGAATTACAGTAAATTTCATCTAATATTTAAGAATTTGTTTTATTGCATCTGTTGCTAGGCTAACATCTAATGTAAGTTCTTTTATTCATACCCATAGTCAAGTTATTTTATTAATAGTTATAGCTGATGTGAGATCTCAATACAATCCAAGATTGAACATTTAGGGTGAGCAAATTGTAGAACTGATTTTTTTTATATACCATTGGGAGAGACATGAAGCTAAGTAGATTTTATTAGGAAAGTCACAAGCGAAGTATTATTTTGGATAATTGGGGGTGGCCCATTATCAGATCTATAATTTCTATAACATGAATTTGAATATGTGAGAAGTGAAGTCCCATCGAGGGAATTTACTTTGGTGCTTACTTTTTTAGGTTATGAAAAGAGTACAGTGTTTCTTTTATAAAACATACCAAAATCTCTTCTTTTATCTTTTCTATTGCTTTAGTGTTTGAGAGAAAATTAAGAGAGAAATTAGTTTCTCGTTTAAGGTTTTCCTTATAGTTAATTTTTTCTTAGTTCCAAGAGAGGGTGTTATTGTTTTCTCGTTGAAGTTAGAAAAAAGGGTATATAATTTTATTTCCTTTAGTAAAATTACATTATTACTTATTGTCTTTTTTGTTTTTTTATTTTCCATCTTTTATTTTAATTGAGAGTACTTGGTTATGGTTAAATTCTGCTGCTATTATCATTATAATAGTGTTGTTGTTAGGCAAGAGGAATCATCTGATATAAATAGGCCTTTAAGGGTCTCCACTAGGAAGAATAGAAATTAACAAGTGTCAGTTAGTTAGTTAGAAAGCTGTTAGAGCCATGCTGGCAATTATTTGGGGTCAGAAGAATAAATAGCTTCTTCGTCATGGAAGATGGGAAGAGAAGATTTTGTAAAAATTGATACTTCAGTTGTGAAAGAAGAAGAACATTTTTTTTGTAATCGTTTGAGAGATTTCAATACCAGTGGATTCTTTCATTCTGTTGAGTGTGTGTTGAGTGTGTTTGTTGTGTTCTCTGTGAATCCTTATTTATTCTAGAGTAAGGACATACAAAGATTCATAACAATTGGTCCGACTTGTCACAAGCAACCTCATGGATCGTGTAGAGGAGCGATTCTCAGCTTTGGAATCTTCAGTGGCTTCGCTGACTGAAGCATCCAAAGAATGGAAATTTGTTACCAACGAATTAAAGAAGGAAACGAAATTAACGAAACAAACGATCACTAGGATGTCCAAGAAAGTTGATCTTATTTATGACATGCACGACATGTTGCAAACACTTATGGCGCACCGCGGGCTTCATGCGTTACCTAGTGATGCGGAGGAGGACGTATTTGAGGGGGAATCAGAACAACAATCTGAAGCATATCCTGTTTCGAGTGATGACGAGGATGACGCATCAATGCGACCATGGTCAAAGAAAGTGCAAATGCCACTGTTTGAAGGGGAGGATCCCATGGGCTGGATCACACGCGCAGAAAAATTCTTTAACGTGCAACGTGTCAAAGAAAAACAGAAGTTGTGGTTGGCATTCATTCATATGGAGGACAATATGATTTATTGGTTCCAGTATTGGAAGAAGCAAACCAAACGACCCACATGGAAGAAATTCACAGCAGCTTTGCTACGCCGGTACGGTGGCACTGGGGCGGCGACGTCTATGAAAGATTGGCAGTCATTCGTCAAACAGGTAGCGTGGTTGACTTTGTGCAACAATTTGAGATTTTAGCGGCGCAGATTCATGGGGTGCCGGACGCACAACTACGTGGTTACTTCTTAGCCGGAGACTTCGTGAGGATATGAGGAACAAGATTCGGCCACATCAGTCAAAGATCTTATTGCTACCATGGATTTGGCACACGATTTTAAGGAGGCAGAAAAAGGGGAGATATCAGCGGGTGAGAGTCGTAATCGCCCTTTCCGATTTCAAGCAAAGGGCAGCACCATGACACGTAGTGTTGATGGGAGTTTCGGGAATCTGACTCAAGTGGCACCATCATCAAACAAGCTCACTTCAACATATTCGCGTAATATGGGTAGTTTCGGGACTATTTCACAGACTGGGTTCTCCACCACGGTTCCAAGACCACGTGGGGCTAGGAATTTGCCATATCAGGAGTATATTCGAAGAAGGGAAGCGAAGTTATGTTATCACTGCAGTGCCCCTTATGTTACTGGTCACAAATGTCCCGATAAAAACCTTCGCCTTCTTATACTAGCAGCAGATGAGGGAATTAATGAGGATGGAGATATTGCCTAGTTGGATATACAAAAGGAAAATCAGGAAAAGGTGGAATTACAGTCTGAAGTGGAGTATCAATGGATGGACCTTTCACTTAACCACAAACAATGAAATTAGAAGGGAAAGTTCAAGACAAAACCGTTTTCATTCTAATTGATAGTGGAGCTAGCCACAATTTTATTTCTCGCCAATTGGTGACTCAACTGGGGTTAAAGATCACAACCACTTGTTCTTATGGAGTCCGGCTTGGAGATGGCAACAAAAGAATGGCACATGGCTGCTGTGAAGGAGTGGAAATAATACTGGGACAGGTTACAATGACAGAGAATTTCTTTCTCTTTGACTTAGGAGGTGTAGACCTGATCTTGGGGGTAGCCTGGTTGCAGAAGTTCGGCGACATTAAAATGAATTGGCAAGCCTTAACAATGCAATTCATGCAGAATGACAAACTAGTGCAAATACAGGACGATCCAGGTTTAACCAGGTCTGTTGTATCACTTCAGACCCTATGTAAGAGTACTGAAATTGAGTTGTCTATACTGCTATGGGTTTTGGATAAAGCGGTGCAGGAAAATTGTCAAGTGAGGGACTCTCCCGAACAACAGCAACAACTACAAGAAGTTTTGGATGTCTTTCTTGAAGTATTTGTTGACAAAACGGGCCTACCACCCCACAGATCAGTAGATCACGCCATTCCTATTAAAACAGGGACATACTCAATTAACGTCAGGCCCTATAGATATCCACATCTACAAAAAAATGAGATTGAGAAACAGGTGTTGGAAATGTTGGCGGCGGGAATTATAAGGCCTAGCATCAGTCCCTATTCTAGTCCTGTTATTTTGGTGAAAAAAAAAGATGGTAGCTAGAGGTTTTGCACAGATTACAGAGCCTTAAATAAAACGACAATACCTGACAAATTTCCCATTCCAGTAATTGAAGAATTGCTTGATGAATTACATGGAGCTCAATATTTCTCTAAGATTGATCTCAAGGCAGGATATCATCAAATACGGATGAAACCAAAAGATGTCCACAAAACAACATTTAGAACTCACCAGGGCCACTATGAATATGTGGTCATGCTGTTTGGACTGATCAATGCACCAGTTAAATTCCAGTACACTATGAATTCAATCCTACAACCTTTTCTTAGAAAATTTGTATTAGTATTTTTTGACGACATCTTGGTATATAGTCCTCGGTGGGGGTTACACTTGGAGCACTTGAGGAAGGTATTGCAAACCTTGAAGAACAATGAGTTCCCTGCTAATTTCAAGAAATGCAGTTTTGGACAGAAGGAAATAGAGTACCTGGGGCATATCATCTCAGGGAAGGGAGTCGCTATGGATAACAAGAAGGTTGAGGCAGTCATGCAGTGGCCTCTGCCCAAATCAGCAAAAGCTTTGAGAGGATTTTTGGGTTTGGCCGGCTATTATAGAAGATTCATCTTGGACTATGGGAAGATTGCTAGACCATAGAACAATATGCTGAAATTGGGTAACTTCAAATGGACAGAGGAAAGTTCCGCAGATTTTATCAAATTAAAGACAACACTTACTACAGCTCCAATCTTGGCTATTCCTGACTTCACTCAACAATTTACTATTGAATGTGATGTTCCTGGGAAAGGCATTGGAGCAGTATTGTCACAGAACAAGAGGGTAATAGGCTCCTTCAGCAAACCTCTATCTGATGCATCTCTAAAGAAATCAGTGTATGAGAAGGAGTTGATGGCTTTAGCCTTGACTATTCAGCATTGGCGGCCTTACCTACTCGGAAGAAAGTTTCTGGTCTATTCAGATCAGAAAAGCTTAAAATATCTGCTAAATCAAAGGATCTCAACACAGCCAACAGAATTGGTTAGCCAAATTGTTAGGGTATGACTTTGAAATTGTTTATAAAACTAGCACAACCAACAAAGTCACAGATGCTCTCTCTAGAAGAGAAGAAGACAAAGATATGCAGGCTTTATCAAAACCTTTTTGGCCAGGCATCACAGATATTGATAGAGAAGTACTAACAAATCCTCACTTGGCCAAAATCATCACTGAGTTGCAAAAGGACCCGGAATCACACAAAAATTACACCCTAGAGAATAGAAGGTTGTACTACAAAGGTAGGCTGGTATTACCCACTACATCAACTTGGATCCCTCATCTATTCAAAGAATTTCACGCTACTCTAACTAGGGGCCATTCTCGAGTATACAAAACTTATAAAAGGTTGGCCCAATCGGTATTCTAGAAAGGGATGATGAAAATTGTGACTGACCTAGTAGCTACCTGCCACATTTGTCAAAGGAGTAAATACCAGACCTCCTCTCCTGCTAGTTTACTGCAACCATTACCAATTCCAAATGCAATATGGGATGATATCAGTCTGGATTTCATAGTGGGACTTCCCAAATCCAGGGGCTATGATGCTTCACTTGTAGTGGCGGACAGGCTGAGTAAGTATGGACATTTTCTATTATTGAAGCACCCTTATTCAGCTAG